CTGGACAAGTAGCCTGAGGTGGCCAGCAGCCCCAGAGAGCTGCCTGTCTTCACATCCCTAGCCCTGGTATTAAAGCCATGTGCTGCCATGCCTGGCTTTTTCCAGACCTGGTATTTTTACACGGGTTCTGTGACAAGTACTTTACCAGCTGAGCAATCTCCCCAAACTAAAGTTGTATACTTTAAGTTGGCAACTTCCTCTGCAAAGAAATTATTATGCCTGATCCAAATGCTTACACATTTTTCTGATAACCTTTGAGGAGTGTAAACTCTGGCTTCTCCTGACTCCATTTCTTGAATACTTGCATTACAGGCACACACCACTATGCCTGGCATCATGTGTTCATGAATGCTGAGGCCAACTGCGTACTACACGGGGCCCCTCAAAGAATGCACACAACTTAACTCACAGTGCATATCTGACAGATATTTGGTGTTCAAGTATGGCGTTGTGCACTTAATCTTAAAATTAAACTAGTCAAAGTGTGCTGGATCTTGTAATGATTAAACTTCCAGGACAGCATAGGCTACACAGAAGGCTATTAGACTTTGAAATTATTTCACTTTTGAACTCTGATTCACCCAGGGGCTGAAGAAGATATTTGGTTACACTATAACCAGCATCAAGGAGTAATAGAAAGAAATGAGGATGACAAATTGAGGTCAATGACATAGAACTTCCTCAGCACATCAGATAAAATGAACAGTAAGAGCAGATCTTTTGTTCTTGAAAGATTTTACTTTGTTGCTTTATTTCATACCACTTACACCCCAAACTTCTCACACTGAAGACAGTCTGAAATGTCTCCAGTAAAATATGCATCTTCTGGAAAAGCATCATGCTCCAAGATCATTTTACTTCTGCACAAAGATAGCTCTCCTTGGGACACACTGCCCTTCATGTGTAGAGATCAAGTCAGGACCTCTAACCAGTGACTAGAGACTCAGTCATCCTCCATCCCCTTTCCAAAACCTCACAAATTCCAGTGTTTTCTTTTCCCCACTCTGGCTTTAACACGGAAGTTAGTCCCTCACAGAAGTATGGCTCAGTGTACACGTTTGGGTTTGTTTGTTTGTTTGTTTGTTTGAAGACAGGTTCTCCCTGTGTATCCCTGGCTGTCTAGGAACTGGCTATATAGATCAGGTTGGACTTGAACTCACAGAGATCCTTCTGTGTCTACCTCCCAAGTGCTAGGACTAAAGGCATGTGCCACCATGCCCTGTTTGTTGTTCTTTAGACAAGGTCTCACTAGGTAGTCCCAGCTGTCCTGACATTTTCTATGTAGGCCAGCCTGGCCTAAAATTTGTGATGAGCCTCTTGTCTTTTGCCCAAGTACCGGGCTTACAGGTGGGTGTTGCCATAACAGCAGTAGTTTGTGGATTTTTTTCCCCCAGTGCTAGGGATCGAACCAGGATCTCAAGCACACTAGACACACGCTCTACCCCTGAGCTATACCCCCTTTTAAACATTTGTTTTACCGTCTTGAGATAGGATCTTCCTGAGTTGGCCCTGACTGGCTGTGCAGCCGAGGCTGGCCTCGAACGCATGGCAATCTTCCCGCCTCAGCCTCCAGAGCACTGGGATTACGGGAGTGCCCGTTCCACCGGCTTTGGTGAACAGCCTTGTGCTTGCATCTGCACTCCTGTTTGTGGTCATCTCGGAGCACCTCTTCCATATTCCACTTTAGTTTGCTCTGCTGAGAAGAGCAAGCTGCTACTGAGGTCTTGGAGAAACTACTGTTTCAAAGTTAGCGTTAAATGGACATTTTCTCACAAAAACACGACTCATGGTTGGGGAGGTAGCTCCATTCGAACAGTGCTTCCCTGGCACGCAGAGACCTGGGTTCAATCCCCAACAACTCCCAAACTGGGCGTGGCAGTTGATGAGGAAGATTACCATACACAGGATAGGGATGTCCTATGTTATTTTATTAGGGAGAAATCACTTACTCGAGAAGCCGAGAACTGAGGTCAGCGCTCTGCTGGTCTCCGACCTCGACCAGAGCCCCAAGAGAGAAAGTGACCCCTCCTTCCTTGCCCTGTATCTCTGCCTTCCCCCACTTGCCTGTGGCCACGCCCAAACGGGTGTGGTCAGTGCAGTGGGTATGTGAGATCTCTCCCTCCTGGCAGTCCCATCTGTAATCTTGGTAGTGGGGAGGTGGAGGCAACGGGGATCAGGAGAGCCAGCCTCAGATGTATTGTGAGTTTGAGACCAGCCTGAACTACACAAGACCTTGTCTTTAAACAAACAAACAACAACTACTCTGCCCCCTCAAAAAACAAAACAAACAAATATCCCATGGTCTATAAAAAAATTCTGTGAGAAATCACAGACTGGCCTGCAACAAGAATGAATAAATGATTCCTGTCCCAGAGCAGCATGGGATGATAGTTATTGGAAAGAGCACAGCAGGGAGAACTAAATATAGGCAGAGTTTCTCTGTGTTCCAGAAGCCGCTCCCAAATAACCACTCAGAGAATTATTATTAATTTTAAATGCTCGACCAATAGCTTAGCTCTAGCCAGCTCTTACAACTTAAATTAGCCCATTTCTATTAGTCTGTGTGCTGCCCTGAGGCTTGTTTACTTCATCAATGAACTTTCCAGGTTGCTTCTTTGAGTCTGACTTGAGACTCCCCGGCCTTCTTCTTCTTCCCAGAATTCTCTCTGTCCTGAGAATCCTGCCTAGCTATATCGGCCAATCGGCTTTGTATTAACAATGAGAGCAACGCATTTTTCACAGTGTACAAAATGATTATCCCATAACAACTAGAGTTAGAAGAGAAAGAAAAGGAATCCAGCCGGAGAGGCAGATCTGTTGCCAGGTAGTCAGGCTCTGCTTCAAGGGGCACACCCACCAGAACCTTGTGGCACTCTGCAAGTCAGAGAGGGAAGAGGGCCAGTCGGTCACTTTAGATGTGGCTAGCACCCAGCTTCCCGCTCCTAGAGACTTGATGGGTTTGAGCTGGCCATCTGAGGAGCCTGACCTCTCTTGCCTCAGCTGGAACAATTGGACCAAAACACATAGAATTCACAGACCTAGGGATGTTCACACCAACTAAGCAGCAGGACCCCTTTCCCTAAGAGTGTGGTCCTGGGTCTCCTACAGCCTGGCCTGGCTCCCTGGTCATGGCAAGCCTGAGACAATGAGCCTATCCTGAGAGAAGCAGAGAAGGAAACGGCTAAGTATCTTTGAGCCTTGCTTCCAGCCATCCCTGGTATCAGCCCCACCCTGCCTTTCCTCCAATATGAGCTGTTAAGTTCCTTGTTCAGTGTTGAGTTCCTCTTTCTGAGAGCTCTGATCACAGGCCTTCCTTTCTGAAAGACTTTCCACCAGCTCCTCTGCTACCAGCCTGGAGGCAGAAGCCACCAGCGGTCACCCAACCCTCTTCTGCATCCTGTAACCCACTGTCCTCTCAGCAGGACAAACTGTCTTAGACGAATGCTCACATCACTTCTCTGCCTGAAATGTCCCATATGGTCCTCTGACTTGACTTTTCACGATTTCTCCTAATCACAGGCTCCCTCCCCTCTGGCTACTGAAAAGTCTCTCCATCAATGCAGCAATCCAAATCAGACCAAATCAAACCAAGTTAGAAAAAGTCCATGTTTAATGGATACAATGCTCCTGGATGGCCCCAGAGAGGAGACAGAGAGAGACTGGAAAACCATGAGTCTATTTTCCGGGGGACAGTTTAAATACCCTGTGGGAGTGGTCTTATGCATCTCTGGGGACAGGTCATCATTTGGCGGGCTTTCTGAGATGCAGCAGGGTTTGGAGGGAGGTGGGGGAGGGGCTTGGGTGGAACCTCCACCATAACATTCCAGACTCTTTGGGTCTATGGATGCCAGGGTCTGGGGCAAAGCTTTTACCATAGCAGTTACTTTCTTGTTTCTCAGGCTCCTTAAGCTCCTGGTTTCCTCTCTGTCCTGGAACATACTTTCTCAGGGATTTGCACGGTTAGCTTAGCTCATCATTCATTCTTTAATATGGTGATATAACTGTGGGTCCCCACACCCTATCTCTTTGTTCTTATATTTTAATCTCTATATTTATTTAGTGTGTGTGTATACATGCATGTCTGTGTGTGTATATACATGCAGTGTGTGTGTACACGCATGTCATAGCACTTGTGCGCTGATGAGAGGGCAGCTTGTAGGAGTCGGTTCTCACCCTCTACCATGTAGGTCTTAGAGATCAAGCGCAGGTCTTCAGTCTTGGCAGCAGGCACCTTTACCCACCAAGCCATCTCACCAGCCCGTCCTTTTATCTGGCCTTAATTTTTGTGTGTGTTTGTGATTCCTATGGTATTCGTGAGTGTGGGAGCGTAGGTGACACAAAGTTTGCATGGTGAGTCAGAGGGGAACTTTTAGGAGCTGGTTGTCTCCTTCTACCAGGTGGGTTCTAGAGACAGCACTCAAATCATCCCGGCTGTGCTTATCCTTTGCTGCCTGTTCATCTCCCTGGAGTTTCTGCCCTGGGCCAGCAGCTTCATATTTGCCTTGTCCACAGTCTATCCCCACTGCAGGTAATCAACAGTTACTGAATGGATGCGTTATAACACACAGGGTGTGGCGTTCAATGCAGCTCAAAGATCTACTGAGTCTCTTCCTCCAGACCAATCTGCCATCCATACGCTTTCCACTGCTTAAGTCAGAGGGGATTCTGGACTGGACACTCACCGAGGAGTCAGCCTGTTTCTGCATGTATACACTGGCAACTGTTAGAATTGACTAGGTCTGGCCTGATGGGGGACACCTCACTCCTGGGCCTGCTTCTTCCTCTGTAGATTCCTGACTTTATGGTTCCTTTAGGTTCATATAATGACCTTCTCACTATGAGAAAGCACAGGCTGTAAAAGGAAGGAACCTTGACTCCTTCCGTAGTTAACGATTGATGATAATTAAGAGTCAGAGGACTGAGTGGCCACTGTGTAATAACAGGTCATACTGGGTTCCTGGTGCTTTCAGATTGTGAGTCAGTGGAGTCAGTTTGACACCGGAGGTCATGCATTCAAGAGGTCATTCACCCTGGAGTGGCAGCAAAGGCACCAGGCCTGGGTGTGTGCTAAGGGCAGAGCTACCAAATGGGCCCCTGCTGCTGTGTGCTCTGGAGGTGGACGGCCTAGCTACAGCTGGGCCCTCCTGAGGAGAGTTTCGTGCAAAGACTGCCCAGGATCCTGAGAGGAAGAAGAGGAAAGCACAGAAACCAGGGCCATACCACCCTGCCGAAGGTCCCCGGAGCCCCAGACCCAGGGTGAGTGCTCTCAGCCTGCTGTGGGGATGGGTGGCCCAAGCTCTGTGACAGGAATCCCAGCAATGGCCCTGATTAAAACGAGGGGATTGATAGAAGGGCCAAAGGGACCATGGCACCTCACTATAATGTGATGTCCTGGACAGGATCATGAGCAGGACAAGGGCATTGGGAAAACTAAGTGAGAGCCAAAGGAAGTATGGAGATTAATTTAATAATGATATTAAAAAGTGATAGTGTGTGCCAGGTACCATAAGAACAACTCAACTTTACTGTTTCTGGGAATATGATTTTTACTTTTTAAGAAATTATTTTATGTGTATGAGTGTTCTGCGTACATGTATGTCTGTGCAACAGAATGTACAGTGTCCTCAGAAGCCAGTACTGAATCTCCTGGACAGATAGTTGTGAGCTGCCATGTAGTACTGGAAATCCAGCCCAGATCCTCTGTAAGAGCAGCAGCTCTTAACTGCCCTGCTGAGCCATCTCTCTACCTCCTCCCCCCTCTTTTTAAAAATGGAATGTGCTGGATAGCTCTACAATTTTTCTCAGATGGCTGCAAACCTGGAAAAGCCATTTCGACACTTTGTAATACAGTTCCTCATGTTGTGGTGACCTCCAACCATAAGATTATGTCATTGCTAGTTTATAACTGTAATTTTGCCTCTGTTCTGAGTGGTAAATATCTGATATGCAACCCCCAAAGGGGTCAAGATCCACGGGCTGAGAAGCAATGTTTTACAAGAACGGTACCCTGAGCCATCCGTCCAGCCCCCAAGGGACCTTTCCTTCTCCCCACAGCTTAGGCACAGGAGTGAGTATTCACATCCGAGAAAGCTTAGCTCTTACATTCACGTCAAAATATTTCCTTCCAGTCTGTCGGTGGTTTTTCAAGAGGACTTAGTGCCATAGAAAACCCTGGTGTCTGTCTGGTCCTTTTGTTTCCCTTTGGCTGTCTGCCATTCCGTTGTTTGAGAAAGTCCCAGGCTGCACATACAAAGGCTGTCTCAGGCAGCGCTGTAGAACCTCTGCCCTAGAGACCATGTGGTCTCTGTTGCCTTTGGTGGCTCTCATAAGTGCCCATGTTTTCATGACAGATTTTTTATGTTTTACGTCTTCAATTATTTATTTTTAATTGTCTTTGATTTCCATTCCCCCTTCCTCCTTTCTCAGAGGCAGCTATCCCAATGTGTTTAACATGTCCCTTAAAATATGTGTCGTTTTGTGTGTGTTTTCAGTTTTTATAAGTGGTGTGGCATGTCCCCCTTGAGGACAGTTTTTAAAGTTTTTATTACATTTATTTGGGGTGTGTGGGGAGTGCATCCGTGCCATGGCACACATGTAGAGACCAAAGAACGACTTATGAGAGTTGGTTCTCCTCTTCAACCATGTAGGGCCTGGGACTTGAGCTCAGGTTAGCTGTCAGTCTTCGTGGCAAACACCTTTACCAGCTGATCCAGTTTACCTCCCAGAGTTAGTATTCTCACAAGTGGTTTGTGTTCTTGATTAGGTCAATCTGCTACGAGTGTTCAGTCTGCAGCCCACAGGCCACATGCAGTTGAGATGGTACAAATGGGGTCTCACACTAACCTGTAACTTAGTTAAAACAGGAGGTTTTAAAATTTTGATTACTAAGTTTTTGTAGATGACAAGAACCTGCAGAGAAGTCAGGAGGACCTGCTGCAGGTCAAGGTCAAAGCTGCTCAATACAGTAGCCACCAGCCATGTTACTGAGCACTCAAAATGTGACTGGTGGGCCTCAAGATAACCATGCTACAAGCATAAAGTTTACACCCTATTTCAAAGGCCTGGTATCAAAAAACATAAAAACACCCGAACAATTGCTTTTCTTTTTCTTTTCTTCTTCTTCTTCTTCTTTTTTTTTTTTTTTGGTTGTTCGAGACAGGGTTTCTCTGTACTGCTTTGGAAGCTGTCCTGGAACTCGCTCTGTAGACCAGGCTGGCCTCGAACTCACAGAGATCTGCCTGCCTCTGCCTCCTGAGTGCTGGGATTAAAGGTGTGTGCCACCAACGCCCGGCCACCTGAACAATTCTTAACACCAATCACACTGAAATAATACTTTAAGTGTACTGTCTCCGCTGAAATACGCTGTCAAAACTAACCTCACTGTTTCTTCAAATATGGGCACAGAAAATCTTGGGGGAAGTAGTATTACATGAACACGCGTGCCTGTTTTGAGGGACCTAAGGCTTGGTCATTTACAGCTTCACCCGCCTTGTTTCCCAGGAACAGAAACGGGCTCAAACCAAAGGGACTTCTGAGACAGCGTGGTTCACAGAAATCAGTTTTGGTCATTATCTCCACCCCACCCCACCCCACGACATGCCACTTATCCCCCAAAAGAAAAAGAAGAAACAGCTCTCTTGAGTAGCAGTCATGGGTAGCGCTTACTAAGCCAGCCTAGTGCTCCTCAGCGCCTCTCACAGCTGGGAGACACTTCTTCCAGCTGCTTGCCCAGCAGGTAGCAGATGGGTCAGTCCCAGAGGGAGACCAGGATGGCCAGGCTTCATCAGGCACCTGTGATTGGCTACTGCGGGAGCACGAGGTGGGTTGGGTGGAATAATTAGGTTAGAGGTAGGGTAGAGTTGGCAGAGCTGGCAGAAACAGAGTGTCCTCTGTAAGAGTTCCTCCAGCCTGCTGGTGGCCCAGCCTCACACTGGCCTATGCATCTTTGCCCCTTCCCTGCACACTATGGATTTTAATAAAGATTTGAGTCACTCCCTCCTCTGTGGTTGCTGACTTCGGGTCCCACCAGCTCCTGGCATCACATTCTTATTTTATCCATGTATCTGTCTACCATCTAGCTATCAGGGACAATGCCTCCCCACACCCAAGTCTCATCTCAAAGGGGATAAGAAATGGTTTATCCAGGAGCCAAATATAAGGACCATGGCCCAGGAACACAGACCTCAGTTGCCCTAAATTCCACATTCCAGGTGGTAGCAGTTGTTGCTTTGGGAGGGGCATGGGGGATGGGGTCATCTCAGCATGGAGCCCTGGAAGGCCTGGACCTTGCTGTAGAGAACAGCCTGGGCTTGAACTCACAGAGATCCTCCTGTATCTGCCTCCCAAAGTTTTATAGTAATAGAACACTGAAAGTCACAAGTCAAGACGCTAAATGCATGGCTGTACACATTGGGTAGACGGGTTCCAGAAGAGCCTAGAACCACATTCTAAGCTGCCTGGGTAGTGGAAGCTAGGGGTCTGCATGCAAATTCCAGGATATTTCCCTGACTGTCACAAAGATGCTAGGCCACACCCGGAGACTGGCTAACGAGGGGGCTAACGATGACCTATCGGTCCTCCGGACTCATCTCCTGAAGTGGCCCTGCGTTCACTGCTGTAGTCAGCTTCAGTTCAGGCTCGATCAGTCCTAAAACTGTGGGCTACAGGGCTGCTGGTTTGGACAAGGGGGGAAGATGTGTTGCCAGAGTTGTCTGCTCAGAGGCCAGAACCTGAGAGGCCTGGTGGGCAGCTGGGGCCTCAAGACTTGTCTGTTCACAGCCCAGAAACATCTCAACCAGGAGCAGGACATGGACCACAGCGTGGAGGGAGCTGCAGTCAGCCCTGAGGTGCCCCAGGAACTTCTGGAAGAAATGATTTGGGTTTTTCGTGTAGAAGATGGTAAGCGATGGGGGCCTAGGGTTGGTGGACCAATTTGGCACTCTCTTCTATCCCCAAGTGGCACATTTTCTTCAAAAGGGAGCAAGGCTTGACATCTCACCACAGAGGGGTTGAGCTGAGCCCGCTCACTCCCCTTTTTTCAGGGTTTGGTTCACTTACTCAGCTATCAATCACCTCTACTATTTATTAAACAGTACTGTGTGCTAGGCATGGCCCCTAGCGCCGGGGTTACAGCAGTGAACAAACACAAGTCTCTACCCACACAGTGTCCAGCAACTAAAAGTATGACATGTTCCCAGTGCATAGTAAAAAAGAAGCAAGCTGGACCCAGTAGCCCAAGACTGCAAACCTAGCTACTCAAGAGGCTCAGCCCTGATGATCACAAGTTCAAGGCCTGCTTGAGCCACACAGAATTGAACTTAGTGAAACCATGTCTCAATGGTGAAGTGACTGCCTAGCATCCGAGGAATCCCTAAATTCAATCCTCAATATAGTGTGTGTGTGTGTGTGTGTGTGTGTGTGTGTGTGTGTTGGGAGGTGGATGTGGGGGGCGGGAGGAGGATTGGGAGGCAAGGTAGATAACATAATCAAGGGAAGTCTCACTCTGATGAAGGCTTGCCCTGGGGAAAACCCTTGCAAGAGGGGAAGGAATTCACCATCGGGTCATTTAGTGGAGGACCCGTTCTGGCAGGGGGAAGTAAGAGATGTGAGCCGGAGCCGGCCTCTCTTGGAGACGGTTTGGCTGAGCACCCACGGCCCAGCCTGCCTCTTTACCTGCTGCCCGAGGCTGGCAGTCACTGCATCCAGCGAGCCTGCTTACCACTTCCTCTCCCTCGCTCCTTTCTGCCTAGTTCAGGGTGACCCACTTCCTCTTCCTTGCCACTCATACCCCCTTTACTCAGCTAGTATCCAGACACAGTGCTGTCTCCCCCCAGAGCATCAGGGATGGTCCAGAGCAGAGACCCCGTCTCCACCCCATCCATCCACCCACTGGTCAGTCGGGGCGGTCCCCCAGAGCAAGGAGTCTTGATGGGAGTCTCCATAGCAGGGGGCAATTGAGTGCCCAGGATGGGCTTGAGCCCGAGCCCCAGTTGTGAGTGGGTCTGAGTGGCACCTGGCCTGAGGATGTGTCTGTCTGTGTGCCCCTCCTCAGCGGCTCCTTGGAATTATTCCATCCTGGTTCTGGCAGTCCTGGTGGCGGTGGTAAGCTTGTTCCTCCTGAGAAGGAGCATCCTGGCAAACAGGTGAGGAGGTGGTCTGGAGTGGGACTTCCTTCCTAGATGGCAATCTAAGGAGTCACTTAGGGAAACTGACTCTCCATTTCTTAGTGGTAGCTGTCAGGGACCAAAGCTATTAAACAAATAATTCAGCAGCTTCCTGCCCCCATTACGATCCCCTAGCCCTGGCCAGCAAGTTGGAATGACTCAGAGGGTATTGCCCTTTAAGTGGTCCGGGCCCCTCTTACCCTATCTGGAAGCATCCCTCTCAGCAAACTCAACTGAGAGACAAGATGACTGTCTCCTGGAGCAGCAGACATAGGCCTGCTCCCCGTGGGCCAGGCAGATTCTCTGGTATCCTTCCACCATGGCCTTCGGGAAGCCCAAGAGTTCCTTGAGTAAACCAGCTTGGAGAACAGAGAGATTTTCAAGAATTAGGGGAAAAACTATCAAGTTGAGGAAGTAGGCAGTGAGAGCCATGGGCAGGGTTGGATCTTACCGTGCATGGCTAATGGTGTGGGCAAACCTGTTTGGAGAAACTAGCAGAGCGAGAGATAGAAGGTTAGTAGGGATTTCTGGCAGCGTCTTAGGGATAGAGCATGGCGTGTGAGGACCTGTGCTAAATATGATGACAGCCCTGAGGCCAGGATAGCGCGGTTTGGAGAAAAGTCACAGGGCTCAGCATGGGCAGACTTAGGTGTGCAGTACAGATAGATATCCGGGCTTCTTTGTCTTCAAATGCCACACTTCCTCATCTCTAAGGGGGAAAGGCTGGCAGTCGAAGCTTAGCTCCCGGGTCGCCTTGCAGAGAGACGACAGATATAACAGTGGAAGCTACCCAGCCATTGCCGCTTCTGCGCAGAGCTCTCCCGCCAAGCTCTCCAACCGTGGGGGCCTGGCCCAACCACTCAGGAGCCCTGATCAGCACTCTTTCGTCTCCTCCTAGAAATCGGAAGAAGCAGACACAAGACAAAGAGACACCAGAAGCCCTGCACCTAGATGACTCCAGAATGAAAGAAAACAGCAGCCTGAGCAACCTGAGAGAGACACTGATGCTGATCTCAGAGAAGCCAGACTTGCCCCCGGGGGAACCTGAGCTGAATGAGAGAGACGCCCGAAGTGTCTTTCTGCCAGACCCACAGGAGACCGAGAGCTAGGGAGGGCTGAGAAAACCCGTTACCCCAGCCAGACACAGGACCGTGATCTGAACTCAGCTCCGTGGCCTCAAACCCCTCAGGCTAGACAGTGCCCTGCAAGCAGCCTAACTTATTTTTACCAGACACAATAAACAAACTATAACCAGATGAAAATTCATTGTTAAAAAAGTCTTTTATTAAAATGCTTCTCTAGGAGGGCAGCTGGGATTGTATGGTTGGTTCAAACGATGGTGGTCTACGAAGCACACTCAAGTGGCTTGGATCAAATGTACAAAGTTCAGTCGTGGGTGGTGGAAGCCTCAGAAGGCGGAGGCAGGTGGGTCTCTGTGACTCCAACTCAAGCCTGGTTTGCATAGTGAGTTCCTGGACAGCCAGAGCTACATAATAGAGATACCCTGTCGCAAAAAAAAAAAAAAATGCAAGGCTCAGAGCTGGCCTGTTGATCGGGACGCAGAGCCAGCACTCGGGGCCAGGATGCAGGGCCAGCACATGCTCTTGAGTGGTTCACAGCCTCCCCTTACCTCAGGGTCTCCAGCTGTAGAGTAGAGCTGAAGACTGGGTTAGAGATATTTCTGTTGGCTGGGAATGGAAGGAGCAGGCTTCCTAGGTTAGGATGCCCATCTTAGCCCCCCCCCTTTCGAGACAGGGTTTCTCTGTGGCTTTGGAGGCTGTCCTGGAACTAGCTCTTGTAGACTAGGCTGGTATCGAACTCACAGAGATTCGCCTGCCTCTGCCTCCTGAGTGCTGGGATTAAAGGTGTGCATCACCACTGCCCGGCCCAGCTCAGCCCTTCTAATGCCTCTCCTGAACCAGCTCAGCTAGAGTTTGTGGTGAAAAACAGCTGTAGCCCTGCCTATGACAGTCTTCTCAGATCTGAGACTTGGTAAAACACTAAGCTTATGCAAAAATCCAACTTATTAATCCCAAACACTTTGGGATCTATCTTCCCAAAGTGGGCTTTGAACACTCATACCAATTGCTGAGGGTCCGAGGTCCAACCAAACCAGGCCAATGGTGCCCACCCGAGGGTGTCTGCTCCCGCCAGCTGCGGACTCCCTGAGGATCATCACTGGGTAGAATGACTTTCTGCAGCCTTAATCATTAACCTCAAGAAGAGTGATCCTGGGGGGGTCTACTAATAAGGTGGTCACAAGAGCCCCCCAAATGCTGATTTAAAAAAAGCTGGAGGCTTCCTAGCCTGGACAACCTACAGCCTCTCTCTGTACCCTTCACCGAGAGGCAAGTGGTGAAATGCTCCAATCCAGATTTCATTGCCCTATCTAGACTTTCCCATAGGATTATCTTAACTGAATTTTTCTTGGATAAACTGTAAGGTTTGTAGCCTGGGGTTTTGAGAAGACAGAAGACATGGGAGACGCCAGCTTTGGTGGACAGCTGCCCTACCTCTTTCTACCACCAGGTGGCAGTAGGACCTCAGGGTCAGCCATCCTATAGACTTAAAAGCCTTCACATAAACAAAGCTTCTTTGAACAGGGGCTGCAGCTGGCCTGGCAGTGGCTGGAGCAGGCAAGATTCACCACACAGGATATGCACCGCAGTTCCTTTCTGCTTGCAACTGTTCCCAGGTCTCTGGTTTGCAACAGGGGCAGCTTCTCTCCAGGGTGGCGGACGCAGAAGTTACCCTGGAGCCCAAGGCCTGGAGGACTCAGCAGCATTGCTGCCTGCTCTCCTGGCTCACACAGTGAGCATGTAGAGACTGCTTGGAGGTGGAGTCTACTATCTACCGAGCACAAGGGCCCTTGGTGCATCAGAGGGCAAACCAGCTCCTGCCCTGCACCCCGAGCATCAGCCAAGCCCAATGTTCTTGTAGATGGGTCCTCAGAAGATCTTGAAGCCCTTCAGTAGGGTCAAGGTGGGTGCCTTGCGCTTGCTCTGGGCGCGGGATGACTTCACAGTGACCAGCTTAGCCTGGGCCACAGTGGGCATCTCCTTCAGGCTGGCAGTGGACAGAGTATTGAAAGTACAGCTGGCCAGTCCGTGTCGGGCCGCGAGCGGGGTCTGGTGAGACAGGGCTTTCTCCTCAGAGATGAAGAGGGGCCGGGCCATGGGGCTCTTCTCCAGCTCTCGTCGCACCTCCCGCACTGCCTCATGGAAGACGTGCTGCACATGCTCAAAGTCCAGGCAGGCAGAGACCTCAAAAAACAGGCACCCGAACCTGCCTGCCAAAGCCGCGCCCTCAGCCTTCGTGACCTGCCTGGCAAGGAAGCAGCGTGAAGCAGTCAGAAGAATGACATTCCGAGTGAGAGAGTCCCACACCCATCTCCCCACCCAGTGATCTAGGCCCATCTTCGCCCTCTGAATCTGTTTTCTCATCAACACAACAGGATAATGGCTGCTCCTCTCGGGGCTGTCAGGACCACAAAACACAATGTCAATGGTGCACTTAGCATTACGCTTGGCACAGACTCAGAACTCAATAGCTGATGTTGCTGGTATTTTGGAATGAGCATGAAAAAAGATGAGCCAAATTCTCCCATGCTAGATCTTGCCTGTGGCAAAAGGAAGAAATGGCCACCCTTGGCCCAGCTCGAGGGACTAGCATTAGAAAAGAGCAGTTTGCACTGAAGGGGCCCCACCCCTCAGATTACTCAGGAAGCTGGTGACTGGCAGACTCTTGGGGCTCATAGGTGTCTTGTCTGTTTGTCTAGCTGAGAGCCAGCAGAGAGGCAGCAATGTTAGGAGATGCAGGAACAGGGCAGGGGTGCATGTGTTTCTGCTTGGTTCTGTCCGCCTCCTGTGACGACAGGATACACGTTTGCAAGCGGAAGGTCCCTAGAAACATCTGACCCATGGGAATGGAGGTGGAGAAAAAAATGAAGCCTGGCTCTTCAGAAGCTCATACGTCCAGACAGGAACTCCTTGGGTCTTGAGGCCAAGACTGCACTGGCTGAATCCTGCTCACCACCACACATGGATGAGCTGCCCCAACCACATCCCTGAGGACCATGGCACAGCCCAAGATGGCCGGAGATACCAGGGTAAGAAGTAGAGGGGGAAAGTTTCTGGGCCAAGGCTGATTTGGCAGGAGAAAGGGGGCAGGAGACCTAGTGTACTATACCACTGAGTCCTACCCTATCAGTGTTACGCTAGACCGAAAGGAAGTGGGGTAACTGGGCATGTCTTTTTTTTTTTCTGAGACAGGGTTTCTCTGTGTACTTTGGAGGCTGTCCTGGAACTAGCTCTTGTAGACCAGGCTGGTCTCAAACTCACAGAGATCCTCCTGCCTCTGCCTCCCGAGTGCTGGGATTAAAGGCGTGCACCACCAACACCCGGCGCCTGGGCACGACTTATACCCAGGGAACCAGGGCTGTTTCATTCAAACCCTGGATTCCTAGTCACTCGCTTGCAAACCATTTTTCAACAATCTCTCTGGTAAACATTGGGGTCAAAACAATATTGTACAGTCACTCCATCCTACCCCTTCCTATTCACAGTCCGGTCTTCCGATCTGTCTTCCAGATTCCAAGATATTTCAAGGGCCACCTTCAGCGATTTACCCACCGAGCAATGTCTCGTATTCCCCAAGATGCAACTTTTCTTGGGCTGAAGGCCGGATCGCCCACGAAGAAGGCCCTATACCATCACAGTTACCTTTCAGGAGACCACAACTCTCTTCTCCCTTTGCCTGTGTGACCTGTCTGAACAAATCTCAGCATCTGTCTCTGGGCCTCTGGGGTCTGGGAGAGCAAGAACGAGTTGGGAGCAGAGGAGAAGAGTAGCGGCCGGCAGAAAGCCCACACGTCGCAGGTGCACTGACCACGTGGAACCACGTCCAGCGAGAGCTTCCCTTTAATTGCTCAAGTGTAGGCTGGCTGTCAAGGGCCTCAGAGCCAGGCAGATGACTTGGTGTGTGGCGAGGGAGGAGGCAGAAACCTCAGGGAGAGGCAGGGCCTGTGGTCAGCTGAAGGGAGCCGGCCCCACCTCACAGCATTCCAGTTCCAAGTCAGTTAAAACATTATGCCAGCCAAGCAAAATATGGCTGCAGTGTTTTGTGGTGATCTGCTCTCTGGCCCAGTCTGTGACCTCTGGTTCAAGTCCAAGCCCTTCTAAGAGAGGACTACCCTCGGCAGCCTAGGGTGACAACAAGCCTGGGGTGCTATGTCTGGACAAGGCAAGGGCTGGTTGGACCACAGCAGACACCTGATCCAAGGAGCACTTTAGACCCTCTCCTTGCAACTAGAGTTGGGCACCGAATGGCTAGTCAGCTGCTGGGAGGGGACCAGAATGTCACATAGCTTCAGGCAAGGCTGATGTAAGAGACCACTGAGACTCCTGAAAGGAAGGGGTGCCTTCTCTTTGCCTTTTGGGGTTCAGCCCACATCCTCAGTGACCCACATGTCTCCCTTGCTGTCACTGGCTGCCTAGATAAACTCCTGGGTAACTCTCCCAGCACAGTCCCTTTATCTGCAGTTGAGGGCACTGCCATTCTTGGTAGCCGTGATCCCCTGGTGTGTCATTCTGCGTCCATAAGCAAGCAAGCTTTAGAGACAAGCGCTAAGACACCTTACTCACCTGTACTGAGCCATGTCCAGCTTGTTGCCCAGCAGTAGCGCAGGGTAGCCACGCTGTGTCTCCTTGGCATGCAAGGCCAGCAACTCCAGGTAGCTGCTGCTGCCCTCGAAACTCTGGCGACTGTCAACACTATACACCACCAGGAAGGCATGGGCCCAGTTCAGATAGCGCTCACAATTTCTGGGGGTGTCCTAGAGTAAAGGAGAGGAATCCATCTCAGAGACAGAAGAACTTGGGGCGGGGGTGGGGTGGGGGGGAGGCCTTCACCTGGGCTGCCCTTTCCACCTCCCGAGTCTTTGTATATTGTTCTCCAGCAGATCTCCTTGCAAAGGGGCACTTCAGTGTCGATCTGGCTTGGTGTGAAAAGAGACATTGTCTCATGAACTTCCCTCCCACCACCCAGCCAGAGACTTGAAGACCTTGGCCCCTTGGGCACTGAGTCAAAGATTCTGGCATGGCCCTCCAGGGACCTGTTGTCCCTGGGTACTGCTGGTTTTGGGTCAGGTCCATACTGCCCCACTTTGGCCTCTGAGAACTGACTCCAGCCATGGCGGGGGGGAGGGGAGGGTTTGAAAAGATATGGTGGGGAGACGGGCTGGCAGGCTCTCCGTAGGAGTGTTTGTGTAAACAGGCATGCACCTGTGTGTGCTTAGCCTCGCAGCATAGGATATCTGGGTTGATGTCAGCAGTCACCCTTCTCATATGGCAAATGAAAGATCGAGGCCCAGAAAAGTCAGAGCCCCGTCCAGGGCCACACAGCAAACTGGAGCCTAAAGAGATCCAGATTCTCTCGTGAGGTCAGGATGTGGGAGGCTGCACTGATTCGCTGCCTGAGGGAACGGGGGGGGGGGGTGGGGTAGGATAATACTGTTACCAGGTCTGCAGTGTCCATGACCCTCAGGTGGACAGGTTGGTGGTCCACAGTCTCCTCAGAACTGTAGGTGTCCTCTGCAACACAGATGAGAGACATGACAGACACTCAAGTAAGGGACAAGGTTGATGTCCCAGCTTCCTCCTGTGCTGGACTCCAGTGTAGTCTTGACTGGTCCTTGGGAACTGCTACCAAGCCACTATTCCTCTTCATTTGTCAGGCATGAAGCATCAGAGGCCACTATAGACCGTGCCCTGGGGGACAGACTGTTTCTGATTCTATGCACAAACCCTGTGGCATGGAGTGTGTGGCCCGTAGGCTCAGCAGCAGAGGCTTGGTACTTCCTCCAAGAACCCCCATTTTCTCCACTCTCTGTCCCTTTCGCCATAGTACCTGGCCTACAGGGAGTCCCCAAAGAAGACTTCTTCCCTCAGTAGGAGAGGAGAGAATGGAAAGGAGAAGCTTATGACGTGACGGGGCAGGGGGGGGGGTAGTCAGACTTCATACACAAGTTCCAGTGTTTTATAAGTCCTCCTTGTCAAATAGACAAAGTGATGTAGGATCCAAGCTATAAGTGATCACTATACAGGCATGAAGACCTGAGTTCAAGTCCTCAGCACCCACAAAAGTCAGTCATAGGTGTGTGCATGCCTGTAACCCCACACTGCGAGGCTGAGACAGGAGGATTGCTGGGAATTGCTGACTGCCAGCTTGTTCCTGGGCTTGTGGAGACCCTGTCTCCAAAGAATAAAGTAGAAAGTGACAGCAAGATACTTGATGCCTCTTCTGGCCTCTGTGTGCATATAAACTTGCACACACCCCTGCACGTACACAGCACACACACACACACTGCACCCCTCCCCCAGAGCTACTTACTTCATATTTCAACTGCCTGATTTAGACTTCAGCTCTCAGGGAGTACTTCCTCAGTCTAAATGGGAACACTATGATAGCATGAGCTAACATTGTTCCTTCCTTCCTTCCTTCTCTTTCTGTTTTTTCTTTTTTCTTTTCTTTTCTTTCTTTTTTTTTTGAGACAGGGTTTCTCTGTGTATCCCTGACTGTCCTGGAACTCTCTCTGTAGACCAGGCTGACCTCCAACTCAGAGATCTGCCTGCTCCTGCTTCCCTAGTGTTGAGATTAAAGGTGTGCACCACCACCACTCGTCCAGAGATAATAGTTTCCAAGCCTTCACTCTGTTAGGCTTGCCTCTGAGCTAGCACATTTAACAGACCTATATCTTCCAGGGCTGTGAGAGGACTGCTTAGTCCTCCAGGCTTGGGGCCTGGCCCATAAGAAATATCTAAAAGCGGCAAGGAGGAATGTGAAGGACCTCCAAGGCTAGCGGGACAGGTCCCCGCTCCCAGGGAATTTTTTCTCCGTTTGTTTTTATTTGGGTGAGTATGTGGTGTATGTGTGTGTACACGTTCGTGTGTGCATGTATGTGCGGAGATCAGAGTTCAACGTCTTGTGTCTTCTTCATTCTCTGTTCACTTTATTATTTTTAAAGAGGTTTTACACTTATCTTTGTGTGTGTGTGCGCGCGTGCGTGTGTGTGTGTGTGTGTGTGTGTGTGTGTGTGTGTGTGTGTATGCACACGATGTGTGCTGGTACTCACAGAGGCCAGAAGAGAATTGACTTACCTAAAACTAGAGTTATAGACAGCTATGAACATCTGATATGGGTGCTAGAAACAGGACTTGGGTCCTCTGAAAGAGCAGCAACAGGTGCTAACCACTGAGCCATCTCTCTAGCCCCACCCCTCCACCTTACTTTTTGAGTCATGGCCTTTCACGGAACCTGAAGTGACCAGATGGATGACCATTCTGCTCTGGAGACCCACCTGTCTCTGCTACCCCAGTGGTGGAATTACAGATGCACACCACAACACATAGCTTTTAACATGGGTGCTAGGGCTCCAAACTCAGGTCCTCACCCTAATATGGCAGTCCCTTTACTGACAGAGTTATATCTGTAGCCCTCACACCCACTTATTTTATAGAGAAATAATGTTAAACTCAAACAGAAGTTACAAACTAGCACGGTTCCTATGTGCTCTTCACCCTGGTTCCCTCTGCGTTAATGTCTTATATAATCATAGCACAATTGCCAAACCAGGATATTGATGTTGGTTCTGTACTATGAACTAAATTACTGACCTTATTTGGATTTCACCAGTTTGGATTTTTTTCTTTCTTTCTTTCTTTTTTTAGTTCTTATGACTTTAAACCCAAGAAATCAGAATGTGGTCTGGCATACAGAATCGTCACTGGCATGCTGACAGTGGCTTCTCTCACTCCCTGCCTTCCCTGGCACCTGTATATGAAGGCACTTGGTCCCCACCTTTCCCTGGGTGACCCCTCTAGGCAGATCTGAGGTGTTCCCTGCCTTCCTGGCAGTGGCCACTGTGAGAACAGCACCCCTCGCCCTGGCTGAATGTAGTCACACACTTCTCCCGGAGGGCTGCTGGCAGCCAAGCAGGCCTGGAAACATGCCAGGTCCACTGACATCCAACATGAGTCACAGACAGCTCTTCGTCCCCAGCCTGCTTTGGGGACTTGGATAAATAGCTGCTCTTATCCAAAGAGGGAAAAAAAACCTAATGGAAAATATGCCCCAAATGTTTAACTATATTTGGCCCAAGAAGAGCTGTCACTGGATACCTACATTGTGTTCATAGTTATTATTTTTTGGCCAAAGTTGCCTTTTAGGCACTCCCTCCAAAAGGCAAAGTCCTGCCTCACCTGGTGACAAGTGTTGTCTACCCTTAGTCTTCCTGGTAGCCTCATGATCTTACATTGGCTCCACGGTAGAAAGATGACAAGGTTGCTTTGGGAGGCTGAAGCAGGAGGATTGCACGGTCAGTCCCTGCCTGGGCTACAGAACAAGCCTGTGCAATGTAGTGAGACCCCCATCTTAAAACTGGGAGAAAAGGGCTGGAGAGATGGCTCAGTGGTAAGAACATTGCCTGCTCTTCCAAAGGTCCTGAGTTCAATCCCCAGCAACCGCATGGTGGCTCACAGCCATCTGTAATGAGATCTGGTGCTCTCTTATGGCATGCAGGGATACTTGCAGACAGACCATTATATACATAATAAGTAAATAAATCTTAACAAAACAAAAAACTGGGAGAAAAAAGTGTGTGTGTAAAAACGTGTGTGTGTGTGTGTCAGCATGGGGGGGTCTAGGGATATGACTCAATGGTAGAGTGCTGCCTAGCATGCATGATACACAATGTTCATTTAATATCCAATAATGGGGAGGAAATGAAATTGAACTTGGGCCTTCTGGGCTGCCCCTGCCACTGTGACCCCCTTGATCCCTGGCTAATGATGGGTCTGCTGGTCCTTCAGCTATGTCTGACCTGAAGCATCCTATTCTGTTGGAATTCTAGCACGGATATGCAAGTTGGATGAAGCCTCAGATCATCGGGTGACTAGCCCCAGGAGCCAGAAAGGCAGCTTCTCACCCAGGCATAGTGGTGGAGAGCCTACCTTGACTTTGATGTCTTTAAAATAGTGATTTTATAAAAGGTACCAAAGAAGTTCTGTCCGGTTGTACATCCAGGCGGCACCTCAGACACAATGAGCATCCACGTCTTTGCAGGAACAGGATGGGGACAAGTGAGGTAGGAAGCTGACCTTGTTCCCTGGAGGATCCAGGCAAGACCATTCCCTGGAGCCCCTGGCCCACCCAGGGCAGAGCACAGTCAGAGTCCTTCTATGCAGAGCCCACAAGACACAGCTCCAACACAGACAACCCAGTCCCGGTGGCATGCACACCTCTGCTTCTGTGTCCATAGACTGCAGCTCACAGGGAGTGGTAGACCTTCCTTTAACTGAGGGGGCAGCATACACACCTCTGCTTCTGTGTCATAGACTGCAGTTCACAGGGAGTGGGTAGAGCTTCCTTTAACTGAGGGGCTCTGTGATGTTAGGCAAGTCACTGAGTCCCCTCTGCCTCAGTTTCTTTCTTATATAGAGCTGTTTTAGCCACATGTTCCTGAGGCATGCCCTCCCCTTTTGGTCCCACCAACACTTTATTTTATGAACGGGGAAATAACTCAACATCATTTTAAAAAAGCTAAGTTCATTCAGACACCTCATTGTTCTCAATGAACAGTTTATAAATAAAAATATTATAAACAAGAGCCAGAAGTGATGGCTCTTGATGCTTTGCAGATTCTAATTTTGTTTGTCTTGGGTATCAGGGTCCCGTGTAAGAGCTTATTTTAGGGGATGATCCTTCTGTTTGTTAAACACAAGTTTCACAACACCGATCTCACGAATGTGGGGGACTCTCAGCAGCATGCTCAGGAAGATACTTAAAGAGGAAGAAAAAAGTGAATACGCGCTGAGAGTCTATTGGGGTCAAGCACTCGCCTAATATATGTCAGCTCTCTAACCCTCACAGCAGTTCTCTGGTGTGGTTACGCCTATGCTCCTTTGGCAGACAAGGAAATGGTAGCTCAAAGACATTAAGTGACTGTCTCCAAGTTACCCTGTCAATAGACGTCAGAGCCAACATTTAAAGTTAGCTTTATATAATTAATTTTAGGGGTGGGTAAGAAAATGGTTCAGTGGTTGAAAACAGTTGTTGCTCTTGCAGAGGACCAGGTTCCATTCCCAGAACCCACATGGTGGTTCACAATCATCTGTCACTCCAGTTCCAGAGGATCCAATGCCTGCTCCTGACCTCCATGGGCATCAGGAACACACACGGGGCACAGATATACACATGGGAAGAACACTCATATATATCAAATAAAATCAATTTAAAAATCTAAAACAAATGTTCCCTGGTTCAAAGAATGTCCTGCACCAATACAGAAGAATCCCTTAAATAGCTTGTCTGGATGCCCTCGAGAGAACACTGAGGGAACATTTTTAAGAACTGTGTCTATTTGGATGTGGACATTCTGCTATTTAAGAAAAAACATTCTTCTAAAGTCTCGTTGCATTGCGTATTTTAGGGCAAACAGTCTCAGGTCTTTCAGCTGGACCAGCCCCCACTGTCTGGTGTGCCTGGAATCATCCCAGTGATCCCTCCCTTCTACCTTAAAATGCACAGTGCTAGCCAGGGCCCACCCATGGGGAGGTCCCAGGGGAACGTCCAGGTGTGGCCCACATAGCAGGAAGCCCACAGAGGAGTGGCTTCTTACCCAAATTGGGGTCATATTCGCTGATAAACCTCTTGGTGAGAAACTTCACAGTCAGGGCTGCAAAAAGAAGAAAGAGGTAGGCTCAGACTCCCGTTGGGTCTAAGGCTAGCCCCCAAGCTACTGTCTCTCGAACTTTAAGGAGGCCCAACTGACCTCTGTGGTCTCTGACTGACACCAAGCTTGGCTCTCCAAGGGCCTTAGCCTGCAGAGCAGAGGAACTGGCTCAGAAGGCATAGAAATGGGGTGCCAAGCCTCACTAATTGCATGCACACTGGGATTATTTTCTAGAAATTATTGTGAGCAAGAAAGATAGTGAGAGGCATGTCTAAGGAGTGTCTGTGACAATCAAATCCAGGGTCAAGACCCTACATCTAGTTAGTTATCCTGAGGTCTGGTGATACCCTCCCCCCCCCCCCACACACAACTGAACGGACATATCTCCCACCATGGACAGGTCACACTGATTCTTTAGCATGGGACATTTACTCCAGCTTTGGCGACAGGCCAAAGACAGTAAGTGAAGAATTGATTGACTATTATTAGGAAGGTCTGAACCGCCAAGGACATGAGTTTTCCAGGCAAGGTCCAGGACAGCTTATGTCCCAAGTTAAACACACTCTAGTCTGAGTCCTCTGCACCTTGGGCTCTTGCTCTCCATGGGATTTCCACACCCTTCTGAGGTAACTCTTGAGCATGTAAGCCTTGAAAAAGTACTTCTTTCTCCCTAGAAGAGTGCACTAACAGGATTGATTCCATTCAGAGCTTGCCACATAAAGGCAAGGGCCAGCCAAATATATCATGCTGGACTCTTGATAGGATTAAAAATAAACCCAAAATTCTTTTGAAGGAATCCTAACACTGCCAATTTGCAAACGAATAGCCATGAATCCATATTTTAAACTTTCTGGTGCTGTAGCCCAGTTGGTAGAGTGCTTGCCTAACAGGCACGAAGCCCTGGGTTACATCCCCAGCATTCCATAAACCAGGAATGGTGGTGTACATTTGCAATTCCGCACTTGGGAGGTGGAGGCAGGAGAATCAGGAATACAAGGTCATTCTTGGCTTCATAATGGATTCCAGGCCTGCTTGAGCTACATGAGACTCTGCATCAAAGATGAAAAAATGATTCCTTCATCCATTTAGTCATTAGCTGACCTGTAATAGTGACTGAGTCACTGGGGCAGGCTGATTTTCAATGGAAAACCATGTTCTGGTTCCCCTCTGAGCCAGGGGTGCTGGCTTCAAACTCAGAACACTTTCCCTGGGGATCTCAGGTAGCCAAAGAGAAGGAGAGCCACAGCTAAGGGGCCATGGTGGCTATTCACAGCTGGCTGCAAGAGGGCAGCCGGGGCAGCCTCTCCTGCCCACCCACCCTCAGCTGTCTGGATCGTAAAGTGTCAGGTGGCAGGGCAAACACTGCTTTCAGAGATCTCTGACGGCTCTTGGAAGTGGTGAAGGTTCGGGTTTGACAGAAATTATCTCAGTGGTAGGCAGCCCAAGATCCAGGTTCCTCAAGGACAAGTCCCTGGCACCTGAGGCCATAGTCTCCCATTTCCACAAAGTCAAGAGGGGCCTGGCTTGAAACAAATAACGTTTGATAAGAAAATAGTCTGTTTCGCAGCCCCACGGGTTGGCAGTGGGGGAGTGGCCCCCTGAGAAATTCTAATCTACTGACTTCTACCAAGTCTCTTGGAGGAAGTAGTGAGGAGGGGGTGGACAGCCCAGATCAAGGAGTAGCAAGGATGCCACCAAGTTCAAAGGGGATCCAGGGCTGCAGACCAGTGCCAACAGGTCTCTTTAGTATCAGGTGACAAGATTTGCCTGTTGGTCCCAGGGATGGAGATGAGCGGAAGACCTAAGAGAAATACAAAGAGAGACAGTTTTGTTGAGGGCAGCAGGAGGCAGAGAAAGAGCCAGGCAGGCAGCTGAAGGCAGATAAAAGAGATAGGGAAGCCGAAAACAAAACAGCAAGATGAGGGGGTGGGGGTGGGGGCAGAATCAAAGAAACTGAGGCAAAAAGCAGTCATAGGAACTCACCCAACCACCCGGGGAAGCAAGTCTCTGGGAGCCACTGGATGAAGCTGCCCCCATCCTCCGCGCTCCGCACCACTCACCAGACTTGCCTGCCCCGCGGCGCCCCAGGATGGCCAGGTTGACCTCGAGGGGCACGCTGTGTGGCCCGCTGCCCGTTCGGGGCTTGCCGAACACCGAAGACATGGCGACGCTGCAGATGGCCACGCTGGTCTCGGGGGCCGATGGGCTGTGAGCTGAGCGCCCTCAGTCACCCTCCGGCCCGCCTGTCGGTGTCCGCCTGCTGGAGGAGGGGCGTGGATGGGGGCGTGGCCTTCACGCTCCAAACACCTTTTAACAGCAGCTGAGCTCTGTAAACTAGGATGATGCTCCCTGCCTCTCAGCTGGTGCTTTAGACCACAGCCGGCTCAACCTCAGCACTCCACTTCTGTATTTTCACTGGGGACTCTAAGTAGCATCACTGCAAAAATCAGGCTCCTGGGACAAAGGGTTTGTGCTGCTAGCTAAGACTTCGTAGCCCAGCATTTAGGAAGCTAAGGAAGGGTTGCGGTGAATTGGAGGCCAGCCTGAGCTGAATTCTAGTATAACTTGAGTTACATGTGAGGACCATCTTAAAAAACAAAATGAAACGCTTCACCCATGCTCCTGTAAGTAAACCTAACTGAACTCATTGGATCACCAAAAGCTAATCAAAAAGGCATGGAAATAGAAGGAGGCTAATGGGGAAGAGGAAGGGAAGAAGTGAGTGGTAGGGGCATGACAGGGGACATGGGGGATCAAATGCACTATATGCATGTGTGAAAATGTCACAACAAAACCCACTATTGTATAAGACTGATAAATGCCACTAAAACTTAAAACAACAAAAAGTAAGGTTAGTACATTTAGAGACATTCCCAATACTATGGACTCTGATGGATTAGGTCTTTGTTTTTGTTTTTGTTTTGGCAGGTGGTGCTGCCTATAATGAGTGTTAGAGTCTGGATGGCACTTCCATCATGGCATAAGTTGTGCTAAGGTCTGGGTGCCTACTAAGGTCTGTGGCCCTGCTACACCCATTAGACAAAAAGAAAAACATGGAAACCTGGCCAGCAGCCAGAGGGTCCAGGGTGTAGGCAAGGTGGCAGTATCCATCCTAACTGGGAAGAACCCCCCCCCACACACACACAGGATGTGAATTTTGATGTGGCCTAACTATGGAGGGGAATCACAGTGACTTGGCTGTTATAAAGATTACACACTACCACAGGGATTTGTTTAGATTACACCCTCAGACCAGACTTTCTTGAACAGCTAACGGATAAGGTTTTCCTCTGAGCTGTGGGGGTTGGAAAAGTGGGAGCCTGGTTCCAGCCACATCCCTGGCTGGCTACAGTCCTGTGCAGACATTCCAGATGGCGTCCATGGGGAGAAAGCTTGTCTCACTGCAGAAGTGCTGGAGAAGGCAAGGTGTGGCCTGCACAGGTCCTGCAGATGACAGCTTTGCCACTTCCCGTTTTGTGTGAGGAGCGGGGAGCTGCTGAAAGTTTTTCTTGGGCTAGGACTCCGTTCACAAAGACCTGGGTTCGGTCCCCAGCACCAAATAAACTCCAGTGATGGGCGGTACATGCCTATAATCCCAGCTGCTCAAAGTTGGAGGCAAGAGGATCATTTTCCACTACAAGCTCAGGAGAACAAGAGGACCCTAGGCTACATCAGACCCTGTCTCAAAAAGAAAAGGAAAGAATGAGAGAAAATGAGGCCAGCAAGATGGTTCAGTGGGCAAAGGCACTGGCCACAAGCTTGATCTGACTTCAATCCCTGGGACCCACGGACTGATGTGGTGAAAGGGGATGGCTGAATTCTGTAAGTTGTTCTCTGGCCTCTAACACACACACACACACACACACACACACACACACACACACACACACACACACCAAACAAATCAATAAAACCTGGCATCAGTTTTTTTCACCTTTTAAAATAATTTCTTTACATGTATTTGTTGATTTGTTTTATCTATTGAGTATATGTGTAGGGGTCAGAAGATTACTTGAGAGACTCAGTTCTCTCCTTCCCTCATGTGGGTTCTGGGAATCAAACTCAGGTTATCAGACCTGGCAGCAAGCGTCTGCGCTCACTGAGCCATTGTCTCAGCTCAGTTTCCTCATCTTTAAAACTGGGACTCACCAAGAGGCCCTGTTTAAAGTTTAAAGTCCCAGCTTTAGGAAGGAAACAGGGTCTCTTTCAACCAGTTCTTTTGCCTGGCTTCTGGCCCCTTCTTCTGCTAGCTGCTTGTCCAGCATTCTGACATGCTGACCTGGCCTGGAAAGGCCTTGAGAGTTTGCCATGTGCTGCCAGACCCTACCATAAACTACTTTAACCTTCCTGGTATCAGTTCCTCATCTTTAAAATTGGGAAAATAGTAAAGGTTAGATGAGATAACATGGTAGTATTCCACCTAGAACTTGGCCAATAGCCCATAAAAATTCCCTCCACTCTTCACGAATAGCACATACTCCTTGACCACCTACCAAGAGGTCAAGGAGCAGACATCTGGATACTTCACTCAAGAGAGAGGTTATTATGTTTGGTCAAGTAGTTCATCTCCTTGTCTAGTCTCCTTAATCAAAGCTGTTATAGAGGACTTCAGATACCCAAAATGTGGAGGTTGTGTTATAGGCCCAATAATGGGCATGCAGTCAGTGCTCAATAGATGTACAAAGCAGGTTCCTACTTTGGACAGACAAGCAATGTAGGACTTGTCTTTCCTGATGCCAAGATACCCATGAGCAATTGCATAAGCTTTTGGGAACTCTATGATGTCATTGCTTCTCCAGGGTCACAATACAACATGCTTTCTATGGTTGCTCAAAGATGTATTACAGTATCAAAACTGAGCAGAACCTTAGAAGTCAGTTGCAAACCCTACTCTGCAGGTGTGGAATTGAGGCCCGGAGAGATTCGGTAACTTTGGCAAACTGATGGTCACACAGCATCAAATCCCAGGTAAGATTCCTGGCTTCTAACGTAGTATTCATCCTTCTCCCAATTCCAGGAGCTGCAGGTACTCCCTGCCCTATGTACTGTCTTCACGACTCAAAAGAGGTGGCTCATGCTTTTAATCCTAGCACTTGGGAGGCAGAGGTATGTGGATCTCTGTGAGTTCGAGGCCAGCCTGATCTACAGAGTGAGTTCCAGGACAGCCTCCAAAACAATACAGAGAAACCCTGTCTAAAAGGCTCCACCATCCAGGCAGGAGGTTGGCAGGGGCTGTTTTCTCCAAGGACAAAGGTTATGTCTCCTTCATCAGGCAAAGCTCTTCTGGAACAGAAACTGGATTTCCCTCAGCTGACTGAGGAGTCCAGAGGTTGGGGCTCAGGATTCCACTGAATAGACGGTGCTGGAGAGGTGGCTCAGCAATTAAGAACCCCTGTGGTTCTTTCGGGAGCCCCAGTTTCTCGGTTCCTATCACCCACTTGGTGGCTCACAAACATTCTAACACCAGCCCAGGGGATCTGACACCTTCTTTTGACCTCTGCAGGCACCGGACACTCATGTGGTGCACACACGTACATTCAGGCAAGACACACATACCTAAAAATTAAATAAGTAAATCTTTTAAGAGGTTTTTTTAATTAAATTAAAAGAGAGAGACCCTCCTGGGTGCTGACTGTGTGGCTGCAGATATGAATAAGGCTTGGGTCTGAGCTCCTCCAAGGCTCAGAGCCGGATGCTGGCCTTTCTTCCCCACCCCCACCTCCCTCAGCGTGGGGAGTGCAAAGTGGAGAGGGGGTTTGTTAGAGGTTGGGCAGGGGTCAGACAGGGCCTGGGAACTCTGTGGGCTGCCCACAGCCAAGACAGTTCCTTGTCCTCTACGTCTCCCAGAGGGCTGCTCAGGATCTGGGAGGAGGAAACTCCCAGCTGCACACTGCACCAGCTGGGGCCCCAAGGGTGGGACCAAAGGGCTGAGCCTCAGCTCAGATTCAGAACCATGATCTCCACCTTAAGTGGACCCCTCCCCATCTTCAGGCTGTGGACGGTGGAAACAGGGTGTGTGCACGAGCCCCCACCCACTCAAGAGGTCTCAACTTGGGATAAAATGGATTGGAGGATAAACTCCACTCAGTCTGGATGAGTTCTGTGATTTTTGCCTCCTGCTCTTAGTAGAGGCCTGTGATGATTCTGTCTGGCTGTTTGGCATCTGCCAGGTGTCTGGAACAGCCTAGCTGAGGGCAACTCTGCAGCAGCCCTGGGATCCGGACAGCCTGCCTTCTCTACCCTGACTCCCAGGCTATGCAAGTGGAGAGATGCAGCCAGGCTAGGTGGGGAGCAGGTTATAGGGCTGGTAGACAGAGTTCTGTAAATTCCAACACTGTCATTCATAATTGAGGAAAAGCCCCCCTCATCTGGAAGCCTCCCAGACAATCTCTCCCTGTCACTAAGGCCTAACCAGGATACAGGCAAAGATCTAACACTACAGTGTCCACTTGTCTCCAAGAAGGGGTTGTCATGCCTACTGCTGGAAACATTTTAGGCCCTTCCAGGCAATGTCTGGTCTCAGGGCAGGAGAGATACTGGGCAGAGGGCCTAAGATAGTGCTCATGGGACTTCTGCCCACCCCGCCTCCTTCCCCTTTTCCTGCTGAGTCCCTGGGGAAGAGCATCTGAAATATTTCTGGCAGTGTCTTCGAGGCTTCTGGCTTCCCAGGCTCACACAAGTGGTCCCCACACTCCAGGCCTGATTTGATGGGGTGAACTAGGGAGTGTCTTAAGGGAGGCTCATCTGCATGTTCTATGTCTGTGTCCTAAAAGGGGAGAGTAGGTCTCCTGCCCTCCTCCTCCTTCCTTTTTGGTAAGGGATGTCCTCCCAAAGGAGGGCCAAAGTCGAACATCTCCCAAGGGGCATTTACCACCCTATCAAAGTCTGGGCCTCAGCTTCCTTGCCCACAAAGCAGAGTGGTAGGAGAAGGCAATCATCAAACTCCTTTCCATCTGACATGTTGGGACCTAGAATTAGATGGTCAACTAGGAAAGCTGTGCAGAGTTGGAAAAGTGCCACAGACTGGGCTGCAGGAGGCCTGGGGATGTCCATCCCAAGCTGCAAGACCCTGGGCAGGGCTCTTTCTCACTTTGCACCAGGTCCTCATGGGAATCAGTGAGCTTGAAGTTCCTTCCACTGCCCCCCACTTTCAGCACAGGAAGCAATAGAGCAGCGTGGTTAAGGATATAACACTAGGATCAAACTGGCTGCATTCTGGCCCTAAATCTGCCACCTGCTGGTCATAGGCTAAACCTCTGGTACTTTAGTCCCCTTATCTATCACATGGGGCCATTAGTAGCATCTAGTTCAGGGCTGGGGTACAACTCAGTAAGCTTAGCCTGCACAGAGGTCTGGGCTCAACCCCCAGCACTACATAAACTGTGCATGGTGGCACATGCCTGTATTCCAAGCACATGGGAGATGGAAGTTAGAGGGTCAGAAATTCAGGGTCATCCTTCTTGTACAGTCTGAAGCCAGCCTAAGATATTTCGGACCCTGTCTAGTGAAGAAATTCAGCTCATAGTGTTGCTGTAAAAAGTAAGCAGATATTGTGTATTCAGCAGCCACACTGGGAGTAGGGCTATTTAGTAAGCGCCCATGAGTGTTGCAAGGATTGGGAGTCAAAGTGTTTATTAGGATGCAGCTTTAAGTGTAGCTTAAATTTAAGTTATTATAGGAAGAAGACTTTCTCATCCACAGGTATACCATCTTCCCAGAACCTATACTTTTCTTCATTCAAGGTGACAACAGTCATAGAGGGGTCAGGCAAGTGAATACCAAACACCAGCTTCCCACTTCCAAGTGAGGGGCGGCTTCTGCCTATAGGGGCTCATTGGATGCTCCTTTACGTGAAAGGAAATGGGCTCGAAAAGAGACTCAGAAATGCAGAGATGGCTAGCATTAAGAGCAAGCCTCGACCATGCTGGGTAGACCTACCAAAATAGCTAACCTGAGCAACTGGGGAGCTCACTGACCCCAGTTTATAAAGCTGGGGAAGCAGCATAATATTAAACCTGACCCCCTGAATGTGGGGTCAGTTGGGGGCCCTGGGCAGTTTATGGGGCCTCTGGCAGTGGAACCAGTATTTATCCCTAGTGCACGAACGGGTTTTGGGAGCCCATTCCCTATAGAGGGATTCTCTCTCAGCCTAGAAACATGAGGGAAGGTCTAGGTCCTAGACTTTGATGATTCTTCATGGGAGACCTCACCCTCCATGGAGAGTGGTTGAGGGTAGAATGGGGCTTGGTGTGGGGCATGGGAAAATGGGAGGGAGAGGGAACTGGGATTGGTATGTAAAATAAGATTGTTTTTAATGTAAATAAAATTTATTTTAAAAATTCAGGTAATTATTTAAAAAAAAAAAAAGAGCAAGCCTTTGCTCCTCTCCCAGAGGATGGGGTTAGATTCCCAGCACACACATCCACAAGGGTTCGCTCAACTGTCTGTAATCCCGGTTTTCAGTTCCAAGTGGTCTGAGGTCCTCTGCTGGCATCCAAGGGCAGGGCATGCATGCGATGAACTTACATTCATGGAGGCAAAATCATGAAGGGGCAATAAGTGGGCTAAGTGCAAGCTTGGGCAGAGGCACACTTTAGAACCCTGGCCTAGTGCTCCACTTTGGTCTCTTTCTTCAAGCTGCCTGCCCCACCCTTATGAGCTGACAAACTCTGGTCCCCACTGAATAAGTCACATAAAGTTGCTGGACCTCATTCAGAACACCTTACAGAATTTGTCCCAATACTGTAAGTAGGTGTTCCTAATGACCCTATTTAAAAATTATTTATTTTAGCCGGGCGTTGGTGGTGCACGCCTTTAATCCCAGCACTCGGGAGGCAAAGGCAGGTGGATCTCTGTGAGTGCGAGGCCAGCCTGGTCTACAGAGTGAGTTCTAGGACAGCCTCCAAAACAATACAGAGAAACCCTGTCTCAAAAAAAACAAAAAAATTTTTTAATTTTATATGCACTGGTGTTTTGCCTGCATGTATGTCTGTGTGAGGGTGTTGGGTCCCTGAGAACTGGAGTTACAGACAGTTGTGAGCTGTCGTGTGGGTGCTGGAAATTGAACCCAGGTCCTCTGGAAGAGCACTGCTCTTAACTACTGAGCCGTCTCTCTCCAGCCCCTCTATTGACCCCATTTTAATGATGAGGAAATAGAGCTTTGTATACAGGAACACAGCTAAATAGGATGTTTTTACAAGTAGGCCTGGCAGGGCCCAGCATGCGGTGGGTATTCAGTATATGGTTTAGTGTTGTCACTATTTCTTTAAAAAAAAAAAAAAAGGTAACTGAGTCTCTGTGGAGGTGGGATGCATGCCACAGCGTGAATACAGAGGACAAAGGACAACTTTGTGGAGTGGGCTTTACCCTCCCAGCTTTATATAGGTTCCAGGTTGAACACAGGTCAATCAGGCCTGTGGCAAAGAACTTTTACCTGCTGGACCATTTCACTGGCCCTTGTCACTAGTCTCTTAACAGAAGTGAATGACCACACAGGTGTCCAGATGCCCTCTGGGCCAGGCGGGCATCCAAGCCTGCGGGCCACATCACATGAGCCGTCCTATCTTTAGTCAGGAAGGTATTTATATCCCCCAGGGAAGGTTTTTTTTCTTCCCCGCTTCGGGGTAACCCCAGAGTCAGTAGCCCCAGGCAAATCCAGCCCCCCCCCAGCGGCAGCAGCCTCCACCCATCTGGCTCATCATGCCCCCAGGTCCCGAGGTCCCGGTGCAGGTGTGGGTGGATGGCCAACTCTTCCAGGCCGAGCAGTCGCTGCTGGTGGAGCACTGCGGCTTCTTCCGTGGGCTTTTCCGCTCTGGCATGCGGGAGGCGCGCGCGGCCGAGGTGCGCCTGGGTGCACTGAGCGCCGCGGGCTTCGGAACAGCGCTGCGGGTGCTGCGTGGGGAGAGGCCGGCGCTGGAGGCCGACGACGAGCTGCTGCAGGCGGTGGAGTGCGCTGCGTTCCTGCAGGCGCCCGCGCTCGCGCGCTTCCTGGAGCACAGCGTCACGTCGGACAACTGCTCGCTGCTGTGCGACGCGGCCGCTGCCTTCGGCCTGCGCGATGTGCTCCACAGCGCTGCGCTCTTCATCCGCGATGGCGCGCATGAGCTGGTTGCTGAATTGGAACTGCCCGAGGCCCGAGCCTACGTGGCGGCGCTGCGACCCAGCACCTACGTGGCCGTGAGCACACACACGCCCACACCTGGCTTCCTGGAGGATGCATCACGCACCATGTGCTTCCTGGATGAAGAGGAGGACGCGTGGCGCACTCTGGCCGCTCTCCCTTTGGAGGCCAGCACGCTGCTGGCAGGCGTGGCCACTCTGGGCAACAAGCTCTACATTGTGGGTGGTGTGTGTGGCGCCAGCAAGGAGGTAGTGGAGCTGGGCTTCTGTTACGACCCAGAAGGTGGTACCTGGTGCGAGTTCCCCAGCCCGCACCAGCCACGCTATGATATGGCGCTGGCCGGTTTTGAAGGCCGCCTCTATGCCATTGGTGGCGAATTCCAGAGGACACCCATGAGCTCTGTGGAGTGCTACGATCCCGCCACAGGCTGCTGGAGCTTTGTGGCCGACTTGCCACAGCCAGCTACAGGGGTTCCCTGTGCCCATGCGCGTGGTCGCCTCTTCGTGTGCCTGTGGAGGCCGGCAGATATCACTGCCGTCGTCGAGTACATGGTTCAGATGGACAAATGGCTGCCGGTAGCTGAACTGTGTCGTTCACAGAGCTACGGCCACTTTATGGTGGCCCATCGTGACAGTCTCTATGTGGTGCGTAACGGGCCTTCTGATGATTTCCTGCACTGTGCCATTGATTGCCTCAACCTGGTCACGGGTCAGTGGACATCGCTACCTGGCCAGTTTGTCAACAGCAAGGGAGCACTGTTCACATCCGTGGTGCGCGGGGACACTGTCTATACTGTCAACCGTGTATCCACGTTGGTCTATGCCATTGAAGATGGCACCTGGCGGCTGCTCAGGGAGAAGACTGGCTTTCCACGACCTGGCTCTTTACAGACCTTTCTCCTGCGCCTGCCTCCTGGCACTACTGGGCCTGTGGCCACCGCGTTGCCAGAGTTGTGACCTCGGAATGACTTCCGAAGACTCGAGAGTCTTCATGAGCCCTGACTATGTGAGCCGGGACTGAGGAGCTCTTGGGAACTCCTTTTCCTCTATTGGGACTCTCGGGTTTCTACTTCCTGGTAGTGTGGATATCCAAGAAGTTCCCAGCAACACAGCTGCCGAGGTCCTCAGATCACTTGGGCTCTGCTGAGAACTGGTGGGTCACAATCTCAGGGAAAGAGGACTATTTGGACAATCCAGGCTTGTAGTCCAATAGCCAACGACTGAGCTATGGCTAGAAGTGGGTTAAGTGATGTTAACCAAAATGCAAGTGTCAGCACAATGCTGGGCCTAATGCGAACTGTCGTTGTCAGCTGAGGTACAGAAAGCCTAGGAAACTCGGTCGTAATAGAAGTGTCAGAATGACAAAAAAGGGGGGGTCTATACATAATTTGCCTCCACCCTCAACCTGAAAATAGCATGTTAATTTTAAAAAATTAAAAGCAGCACATAATGCAATAAAAAGAATGCTAAAGCAGTCAGCATGAAAAAGGGAAGATGAAGAAAGAATGTGAGTCCAAGAAGTAGGCACATATACAAATGGCATAGAGGAGACAGGAGACAGTCTAGAGGAGCCGAGTTAGACCACAGAGTCTGAGTCCTCCAAGAGGGAAGAGGGGCAAGACTGGACCAGACAGGTAAGCTCCAGCCTTTAAAGGAGAAGAGCTGAAGATGGAGGTATTTAGGCAGTGAGTGAGGCTGGACTGACAGCAGACAAAACTCAGTTGAGCTTGGAGAAAGACTGTGAGAGGGAGCAAGTGTTCCCTACAGTAGTTTTGGGGACTCGAATAGAAAGGAAGCACTCAGGTGTGATTCGTTTACCTCTCTTTTTTGTTATCAGTGTGGGACAGTAGATTGGTCCCTCCTGACCAGGTTCCTGAAGGTGTAGGGAGCCTGGTCCTGCTGATCTCAGTGCATTCCTCCATCTCTCTCCTAATCTCTGCTGTGGCCATTCCCCAGGCCTGTAAATGTCTGCCCTCTTCCTCTCGCATTGTCGGCTCTGTTCCCACCTCCTTTCAGCAGGACTGGCTGATCCAGATCCTGTTTTCCTGACCTGGCTGCCTGCGTCACTCACTGATCTCTGTGACATTCTGTTTGTGCAGCCATACCTGTATGCAGATGATAAGGGTAGAGGCCCCATGCAGTTAACTGAGCCGGGCAGAATAAAATGATGTCTTACAAGAATCACTAGTTAGGGGTCTGCTGCTGCTACATGTTGTTAAACAACTCCTGTCTTAGAAGCCATACCCAGAGCTGGGTGGTGGCGGCGGCGCATGCCTTTAATCCTAAAATTTAGGAGGCAGAGGCTGGAGAGGTTCTCTGAGATCTAGGCTAGTCTGGTCTACAAAGCAAGTTCCAGGACGGCAAAAGCTACATGGAGAAGCCCTGTCTCGAAAAGCAAAAAACAAAACAAAACTAAAAAGGCAATACCCAGGCCCAGCTTCTGCTACAAATGCCTGCTTCAGTCCTCCAGCATGGCCATGTGCCCCACAGACTTCCTTCAGTGGTCCTGTATTGCCTCCATCCTCCAGGACCCAAGGCATGCAAAACCCTGGCTTCAGAAGAAGAGAACGCAGCAGTAGCATGGTACTTCCTGAGCATAGCGCTGGTGTCAGACTGTCACTTGCTACCTCTTCTCCTAACCTGTGTCCTAAACCTGAAATGAGCTGCCTTCGGGAGTGTGAAATTTTCCAGCCTTTGTGAAAGTCTAGTCTGATGGATCACAACAATAAATCCTGACATTTGTATCCTATGAATTCTAGGCAAATCATTTCTTCCACAGTCCCTCACCGGTGGTTCTGTCAAAAGTGTACACACACACACACACACACACACACACACACACACACACACACACTTTCGTCATCAGTCAATGACTTATTCAACTAATGGGGGAACTAGAATGTGAAGCTGGTTGGAAAGATCATCTGAGAGACAGAGATTTGTATATTGAATTGGCAAAGATGTGTGGGAGTAAGTTCGCTAGGCCAGAGATGATGCTGGTTCATGTCTGAGGGGCAATAAAACCATCATTTTAATAGTCTTGTCCTGGAAAAGGATCTTTGTATCTTCACATATGCACATGCACAGACTTGTGCACACCCACAGGCCAGCACAGGACTTAATGATATCCGGGGCCATGCAATAAATAGTAAGTCACTGAAATAGAAGTACATAGCCCTTCATAATTAAGTCAGTCCACTGTTTAGCCCTGCTCCAGACTGATGCTGTAAAGACCCACAGTCCTCCTTTGGCTCTAATTCAAGGTGATGAACATTTTTCCTAGCAGCCAGAGCGCTGCCTCTTATATCATTAAGGTCTGTCAGCTCATGGCCTCTTTCTCAACTCAATGAACTCTAGGTTTGGCTCTGACAGGCCTGCTATACTGGGTCTCTGCACTCTTACTATTCTCACCCAAAGCAGCATCTTCCTTTAGAGATGACTTTTATATATAGTAATGAACATATGATGTTCATACAGTTTCCCCAAAGTTGACTTATTTCAGCATTTAAGCATTTGAAAATTTTAAGCAAGAGCCAGGTGTGGTGGCACATGCCTTTAATCCCAACACTAGGGAGGCAGAGGCAGGTGGATCTCTGAGTTTGAGGCCAAAATTATTTACATAGCAATTTCCCAGACAACCAGGACGACATAGAGAGACACTGATGGGGGAAGTTATGTGTATATGTCAATAAAGCACGGTTGGCCAATAGGGAAGCAAGATAGGTGGGACTAGGAGTCTAGGAGGATATAGTCAACTGAGCCGTTGCCATGTGATTCCCAGGAAGAGGGGATGCAAGTCTGTGTTCTCGAAAAGATAAGTCCTTATAAAAATATGTATTGGCGATTATGGGTCAATAATTCAGAGCTAGCCAATGAGAAACAATAGCAAGTGGTCAACAGCTCATAACTAATATAGTGTCCTGTATGTTATTTGGGGGTTTAGACAGCTCAGCAGGGTCCAAGCGGCTGGCAGGGAAGACAACACGTTACAAGACACTGTCTGAAAATTTAAAAAATATTTAAGTAAAAATAAGAAGATAGCCAGGCGCTGGTGGCACACACCTTTAATCCCAGTACTCGGGAGGCAGAGGCAGGTGGATCTCTGTGAGTTAGAGACCAGCCTTAGTCTACAAGAGCTAGTAGTTCCAGGACAGCCTCCAAAGCCACAGAGAAACCCTGTCTCGAAAAACAAAAACAAAAACAAAATAAAAAAAAAGGAGATAGCCCAGGGTAAAGTGCTTGCTTTGCAATTGGGAGGATCTGAATTTAAACTCAAGAGCCTATGTTTAAAAATTAAAAATAATAAGTAAATAAAAAGCCAGCTAGCACAAAGAGAGGTTATGAAGGAACTGCAGAGATAGCTCAGCTGGTACAATGTTGCCTTGAAAGCACTGGGATCTGATCTGATCTGCAGCATTCACCTTAAAAGGCTGGGTGTGGAGGCATAGGCATGCAATCCCAGCACTGGGGAGGCAGAGATGCTGAAATCCCAGGAGCTTCCTGGCCAATGAGAGACCCTTTCTCAGGAAGAAAAAAAAAAGGTAGGCGGATGGCATCTGAGGAATAACAACTATCTTATGGACAAATGGCACAAGCATGAGCACATGCATGCAAGCACATGTAAGCACACATAAACATACTTGTGCACACAGTCACACTATGGTGGTCTGAATAAGAATGGCCCCCTTAGGCTCATACATTTGAATGTTTAGTCATCAGGGAGTGGCACTACTTGAGAAAGATTAGGAAGAGTAGCCTTGTTGGAGTGGATGTGGCCTCATTGGAGGGGGTGTGTTGATTGTGGTTAGCTTTGAGGTTTCAAAAGCCAAAGCCTAAGCCAAGCCCAGTGGTTCACTCTCCTCCTGCCTGTGGATCCAGATGTATAACTCTCAGCTACTTCTCCAATAACATGTCTGCCTATTCGCCACCGTGCTCCTGCCATCATGATAATAATGGATTAAACCTCTGAAACTGTAAGCAAGTCCCCTTTAAATGCTTTCTTTTATAAAAGTTGCCATGGTCATGGTGTCTCTTCACAGCAATAGAGCACTGACACACACACACACACACACCACACACCACACACACACACACACACACACACACACACACACACACAATTGTGGTTCTCTACAAGAGGACCGCTTAACTGCTGAACTCTCCCCAGCTCTGTCTTCCTCTACAGCATTTAGCATCATCCTCTCTGCTATATTTTCGCCTGTTTCTTGTCTTTTTCTCCCTGCTAAAATGTGAACCCCATGAGAGCAGGGATCTCCTAACTCATGGTGCTAGGGATTGAGCCCAGGGCTTCCAGCGTGCTAGGCAAGCAGCTTCCCACTCAGATCGAGGGCAGAGACTTTTGTTTGTGTTGCTCACTGATGTATCACTGCACCAGGAACAGTGTCTACAACACAGCAAGGATGTGTACCACCTGTTAGATGAATGAGTAGTGTTTAATGGATGCCTGCTGACAGAAAGGACGAATGGATGAGTCAATAGATTAAGAAAAAAACCAACCCTGGGGGAGGTACATAGCGAGCCTCAGACTTCGGAGGGGTAGGGAAAGTTCCTGTTTGGGCAGTGAGGGTTGGGGTGGGGGTGAAGACGCTGTCATGGGGAAAGGATGACCTGTACACCCTGGGAAGAGTCGGATCTGGGAATAGCAGCAGCCACCGTGTCTTCCTTCCAGAGATGGGAAGAGGCTGTGGTTGGAAAAGCTAATCACCCCGTGAAGGATTGCTCCTCTTGGCCATGGAGTACACACAGCACCAGTCTGTTTATTTTCCTCTGGCCCCGAGCAGCTGCTCCTCTTTTTCATACTAATTGTTTTCTTCAAGTTACTGTCACTCCTCAGGAGCAGCAGCAAATTAGCTGTGCTGGTGTGAGACCCAGCTGTCAGGGGACAAGCTCCCTGGGTGTGGGGATCATGGACACAGGACCCAGAGGAGAGGTCTCATACAGCAGTGTCCTCTGCAGCCTCGAATGTCAGGAAGCATGGAAACAGGGAGCCTTCTCTCTAGCAGCTAAGAAAGGTAACAGGGGAGCTGGGGAGAATTCAGTCATTAGTGTTTGCCCAGTAGGCACAAGAACCTGAGTTCAAGTCCTCGTAATCCCAGCACTTGGAAGGCTGTGGCAAGAGGATCAGGAGTTCAAAACCAGCCTCAGCTACAAAGTGGGTTTGAGGCAACCTGGGCTACCAAAACAACCACAACAAAAGCTGGGCTTGTAATTCAACTGCTGAGGAAGGAGAGGTAACCAAGTCTCTGGGGGCTCCCTGGTCAGCTGGCCTACATAACTGGTAAGCTCCAGGGCCCTGTGAGAGACCTTGTCTCAAAAAACAAAGTAGATAATTATACCCATGGTTGACCTCTGACACACACAGACTGCAGAAATGAGACACTGTGATAGGGGTTTCATGGGGCTCAGTCTGCAGAGGGACAGCCTTGCTTGCCCACCAGTCAGCTGGTTTTAGTGTCAAATGTTGGCTCTGACCGTTTTGTTGTTTGTTTGTTTGGTTAGATTTTTGGGACAGGGTTTCTGTGTAGCCCTGGCTGCCCTGGAACTTACTCTGTAGACCAGTTTGGTCTCAAACTCAGAGCTCTGCTTGCCTCTGCCTCTCAAGTTCTGGGATTAGAGACATGCGTCACCACTGCCTGGCCTGTTCTGTTGTTTATTTTTTATTTGCTTGTTTAAGACTGGGTCTCACTGTGCAGTCCTAACTGACCTAGACCTCACTATATGGACCCGCCTGACCTTGAACTCAATTACATCTCCATGCATCTGCCTCCAGAGTGCTGGGATTAAAGATGTGTGTTTTGCCGTGCATGGCTCTTTTTTTTTTCAAAGCATTTTAATTCTATTTGTCTAAGTGTTTTGCCTGCTTGTGTGTTTGTGCATCATGTGTGTGCCTAGTGCCCAGAGAGACCAGAAGAGGGTATCAGATCCCCTGGAACTGGAGCTACAGATGATTGTGTCCTGCCTGTGGGTGCTGAGAACTGAACCCAGAACCTCTAGAAGAGCAGCCAGTGTTCTTAACTAATGAGCCTTCTCTCCAGCTTGATTTTTTTTAAAAGATTTATTTATTTATTGCATATACACTGTTCTGCCTACATGCCAGAAGAGGGCACCAGAATGAATTGTAGATTGAATTGTAGATGGTTGTAAGCCACCATGTGGTTGCTGGGAATTGAACTCAGGACCCCTGGAAGAACAGTCAGTTCTCTTAACCTCTGAGCCATCTCTCCAGCCCCTTGATTTTGTTTTTAAGATTTATTTTTATTTATGAGTGTGTGTGGTGTGTAGGTATGTCCTTCTGACTAGGTTTATTTATTTTTGAAACAGGGTCTCATGTAACCCAGGCTGGCCTGGGACTTGCTAGGTAGCCAAGGCTGACCTTGAATTTCTGAATTTCTCATCCTCCACTCCTACCAGTATTGAGATTGCAGGTGTGTGTCCCCCAACTCCTTACTTATTGAGATGAGACCTTACGTTGTTCTGGCTGGCTGACCTTGGACTTCCAGACTCAGGGGAATCCTCCAGCTTCAGCCTCCCAAGTGCTGAGACTACAGGCATGTACCTCGACCTCAGCTCTAAACCTGGTTTCTGTATAAAAGAGAGATGGAGATGTGGTTGACACTGAAGGCTTACAGTCATCCTGCAGATGATGCCATGCACCTGAGCTGTGAGGCTAGAGAGGAGGGTGGAGCCTGAGCATGCAGGCTGGAGAACTCAACTTCTAGTTTGT